TTTTCCACACTCCTCATTTTCCATACTCGTTATTTTCCCTACTCCTCACTTTCCACACCCCTTATTTTTCACACTCCTCATTTTCCATACTCCTCATTTTCCACACTGATTTTCCACACTCCTTATTTTCCATACTCCTCACTTTCCACACTCCTCATTTTTTACACGCCTCACTTTCTACACTCCTCATTATCCAGACTCCTCATTTTCCATACTCCTCATTATCCAGACTCCTCATTTTCCAGACTCCTCATTTTCCATACTCCTCATTTTCCATACTCCTCACTTTCCGCACTCCTGATTTTCCACACTCCTCATTTTCCACACTCCTTATTTTCCACATTCCTCATTTTCGACACTCCTCATTTTCCACTCTCGTCATTTTGCACAGTCCTCATTTTCCATACTCTTTATTTTTTATACTCCTTATTGTGCTTATTTTCTATACTCTTCATTTTCCACACCCCTCATTTTCCAGACTCTTTAATTTCCATAGTCCTTATTTTCCATAGTCCTTATTTTCCACACTCCTGACTTTGCAGTCTCCTCATTTTCCATACTCCTCATTTTCCATACTCTTCATTTGCTATACTCCTCATTTTCTATACAATCCCGGAAGGGGGAAAATAACGCTTGTTGTTAAATAAATAAAGCTCGTGGTTTTTGAGAGGATCATATACTGAATGTGTAGACGGAAATCGATTTATTGTTTTTATCCTGCGATACCCTGTACTCACAGCTACATCGAAAGGTTAAATGTTATTCCTTTGTGATGGACTCGATAAAATAATTATGTATGGGTTTACAAATTAATATGGCAAATTACTGATCAGGCGTGACAAAACGTCTGCAAAAATAAACCATTTATTCCGGTAACAGTTAACAGTATTTTTCGTCTGTCGCTGAAAGTGTGAAATATCGTACAGCAGAGTAGCCGGCGCCTGCGGGTCTGCCTGGACTAATAAGCTTTCAAACTAAGGTGACAAAGTTTGCGAAAGAATTGTTCTGAAATTACTGTTTGCTCTGTTTCCAAACACGTTTTACTGTTTGATCGGGGGTAAACAAAACAGCAACAAGGAAAACGTCGGGAAATAATTCACTTACTTTGCTGGGTCTTGCTGTTGCCTTAGCCCAGCCGCGAGTCGGTTGAGGTTAAGCAAGTGGCTACTCTCATAAGAACAGCATGAATAATAAAGCATTACTGGCGACATTGAAAAGCATTAATCAGCATTTTGACACTAGCGGTGGAGCGTGATGTTTCCCAGGAACTTTTCATACGCTATGTTTGATTTTTACAACTTGCCTCTTTTTATATTCGTGAATCAGTGTCGTTTTAATGGCTGCAAAATGTTGCAACCTTTTTAGAACGCACAGAACGAAAGAGATCTATTTCCTAATCCGAAAATCTACCAATAGCATTCGATTTCCTAAGGGTTATTTAAAACCAAACAAACCCTCTTTAAAAGGTGCCGCTGTAATTAATCAAATTTGACAGATGTCATTAATTATCGCCAAAGGTAGGCGAAAATCTGATTAAATATGTCTGCCAAGGCTCGCCAAAACACGAAGCCTAAAGAATTTAGAGTAGACTTCCTCTGATGAGGTTTGCTAACTCAAGGTGATGCTATAAGGATTATATTCATGAACAGCAGATCCTGTGACAAAGCTACCGTGATCCTCTAATATGAGCTGACATTATCTACCACGAATGTATGAGTGCATGTGCCAGGATACTCCTTACATAATAAGCACTCAAAGAAAGGAAAACGTCCTGATAATGTAAGTTCGACTCTTTTCATGTGCAGTTTAAACTCGTGATTTTGAATGAAAAGGAAATGAAGATGTCCTATCACTTCTTATCTGTTCAACACATATCCACATTAGGTGTTACAGAGGGGGGCTTCGAATTTCCGGTAACAAAGGCCTTGCCTGTAGATTTGCTATAAAAACAACATCATCATAGACACTCTTTTCACGAATTTCTGAGCAAGATTCTCTAGAAAAACATACTTAAATTTTGACATGCTTTAGTTGCCCCATCGAAGATTCCGTTGCCTCTTGTTTTGTTTGTATACTGAGGACGCGACTGTTTACCACCCTTGCTGTGCTTCTTTGCCTGGTTAACAAGCTTTTAGGAAAAAAAAAACAAGGGAAACATTAATCAAAACGTTGCATTTTTTCATTTTTACGATTCTTCCTGATTCCTCCTCCTCTGTTTATAGGGTCTTTGGATTTCTAAGGGACTTAACTACAGAGATACACTGCAGAAATCTCAACTGCAGAGGTACAATGCAAAAATCTAAAACAGATAAACTCTTCATGTTATTATCGTTAGTTGAAACAGGTTTCACAATAGCGGTACTCTATTTATGTAAGTTCCTGCATTAATTATTATTTTTGGAATATCTCTCAGATACATTCGCAAGTAAGTAGAACGAGTCAATGCTGTAGTTTTTGCTTTACAGGTACACATTTAAATCATGTCTTTTTATGATGTGACTCTGCATTGCTTGGAGCCTCAGACAAGAAATACCTTGCCACCCATAGCTATCAGTATAATCTGTAGAAGACTTGGAGGATAGATTGAAAGTTTTACATATGATTTAAAATTGATGTTTTTCGTAATACCAAGTTCACTTTGTCAGAATATATAGATAGTCGAGTGCCGTGCGCGAACGGTCGAGTTTCGGTCACAAACTTCACACGTGTATGTATCATGCCACAAACGCGAAGTTGAAAGCTTTTTAAAACCAAAAAATTGAATATTAATTTTATTTTTACAAGATCTGAAGAGCAAGCCAGTTGTATCAAGTATATGTCATGTTTAAAGAGACTTGCTAACCATTCACGAAGCCACCGAGTTTATATAGTTGCACCGCTCGAGAGAACCATTCGAGACATCTTCTGTCAATTGACATAAAAGGAAACGTGTGGTGCTTTCATATTCCGTTTAATTTTAACAAATTAAACACTACAGTGACCTTTCTCTTCACATCAGTTCGGTGACCAGATCTTTATTTACGAGCTTGCAGTAGTCGCAAAGTGATTAATTTAAATTCTTCGACATTGTTTGGATCCCGTTAGCTGTAGAAATCATGGAACTTTCAACATAATATTCTTGAACCCAGCAACCTTTTTAAACTCCAAATCCGAAGGCACATATCCTAAGAAATTCATACAATAAAAAAGTCTGCTCGCCGACCAAGCACAGCCAGGTTTTGTCTACTTTCAGTAACCTCTTAAAATTATTATTTTTATTTCCCTAGGTGACACATCCGACTGCTTCAATTACATGAAACAGCATAAAACATCGACCTTCACAGCTATCGTTCCACTCATCACCGTTGTTTCGACTCGATTTTTTAAATATTTTATGGTTAGAAACCCCACCGTTTTAGTTTCTTCAGGTGTGAAGTGCCAGATTAGTTCTAGATTCAAAGGAATTACTGCTTATTAAAAGATGTTAAATTCACACCCTCAACAGTTGCCGCAAGGTTCCCTGAGTATTAAAATGTAGACACGCTGGCGACAGAGGTGCGAAAAAGACAGAGCAAAAATACACAGCCAGGATTCAAGCAAACTCTGTGTATTTGTAATTCCTGTATGGCGTTAACGACAAGGCTGTATTTCCTATAATTCTTTAATGCTTTTCTTAAGAATGTGGGATTTTGATAAGACATCACTGAAGATGTAAATATTCTGCCATTTTAAGTTGCGTTTATAAAGAGTCAAGACGAAGTGTGAGGCACTCGAAGATAACAGAATTGATTGAAGCGGTGTTTTGCTTCATGTAGATCCCATGACTTGCTGTTTATCAATATCCTTTCTTGTCACGGTAATTCCGCTCATATCAGTCCATTTCAAAGGACAAATCTAACATATCATTTGAAGATCCACTTCATAAGAACAACCTGAACAAAACCGTTGAACAGAAAGTACGTTCATAAAAGTCAGCATTACTCTTTTAGTACTGACTCTTGTCACCGACACTAAGACATTTCCAAGTCATGAATTGCCAGTCAAAAACTGCCTCCTTGATCATCCCTCATTACGACAATAAATATTTTTTTTTTCATGAAATGTAAAGTTGGTTCTTTGATCCGTATCTGTTCACATGGATTGGAATTGGGACAACAAGTTTAGGAGCATGAAGCTTCCTGTTGCCGTGAACTTGAACTCCACCGAGCGTCCTTACTCGCTTCCATTTTGCGCGTCTGTTCTGAAACCAAATTTTCACTTGAACTTCACTAAGCTTTAATGTCCTCGCAATCTGCGATCTTTCCTCTAATGAAAGATATTTTTTTGTGTGAAATTCTCGTTCAAGTTCTAGGAGTTGCTGGCTGGTAAAAGCTGTTCTTTTACGTCTCGATTTGGTTCCTCCCTCGGAGTCGGAATTTTGATCTCCTTGTTCGTCCTCTAGATCATCACTTTCACTGAGCGAGTTTGGACTGGCTTGGCCTCCCTCTCCTGGTTTACAATAAACAACAAATATGTTTCAGTTTGTTGCGTTCAACTAATGTTATAAAACACTACTTAGGTTAGCTACAGAGAATGACTTGACCAAACGTAACAACTTGTTAGCTGCTTCCGAAAGTAATCGCCTCTTTCTGGAGTATTAAAGGCAAGGTAACACAGAACGTAATAACACGGCATTTGGTTGTCACACTGCCTTATTGCTTGCAAAACGTTTTCAAAGATCAATCTTAACAAACGATGACATTCTAAAAGTTAAAAGCTTACTTTCTGTTATTGCGGCGCCTACATTCCTTTAGAACTTGAATTTAATTAACCGGTGCCAGTTTTTAGAACACAAAATTGTAAATATGAGACTTACTTGATGGCAAAGTAGTAGGGTGGTCCATTACGTTTTCTCCGTGAAAATGTTTGTCCAATTTTTCTCGCGCCATTTCAGATGCTGGGACGGTCTCCTCCAAATAATTGAAGTCAATGCCCCGTGGTGTGAGCTCTACCAAATTCTGCATGGCACTCAGTGGCCCGCGGCTTGGAATCCCTAGACTCGCCTTGTTCTCATCCTCTTTTTGTTTCGGAGGATCTATCCTGGAAATAATCGATTCAATAGAAAAAGAAATCGAATTTTGCATCGTTAATGTCGGCCCTCGTTCCTTTTGTATTACCACACGAGCGGACACGAATTAGTGACTGACTGGATCGGTATATTGTTTCTGATCGGATTACGGCCTGTCTTAAGCAGACGTTACTAATTACAGGGGTTGAGATGTTTTACGTCAGTCGGGCCCATCCTATTGGTCGATAACCTGTTAACCGACAGGTATTGAAGATTCTCGCACTCAAGTTTCCTATACTTGGGGCACAAGGTCTAAATGGCGTCATGCCATAGGACCATTGCGGAGTAAAGAAATAACTCAGCTCCACCAAGCCAATCAAGAATGATTAATTAAGTATAATGAAGTGGAATTTCTCTCATCAGTTTAAATGTTCAGTTTACAATGCGCTTTTATTCCTTGATTGCCCGGGCGGTATTTTTCTAGTTTGACCAATAAGAGTTACTGTGATCACACTGTTCGGATTTGACGAGGGGTTAATTATTTCTTCTTTGACTAAAAAACAAAGCCAAGGTTCGACAACAACCAGCTACCTTTATTCATCGAAAAAGCGCGGTAATGAGGCTCTTAAAAATCTTATTACTAACTGTCATTAGTCCGAGAAACATAGTTAACACCATCAATTGAGACTTGAATGTCTTGTAAACAACGCTAACGGAAAAGTATACAGAAAACAATTAACCAGCCGGGTCAGTGCCGAAAATCTCAGTGTAAAGGAGAGAAAGTCTGTTTAGGTTTATCGTAGCACCTTTTACGCATATAATCATCATTGCATGAGTTGAATAATTCGAGACCAGAAATTACAAAGCCGTGGAGTTCACCAGCCGTTCGTTGACACCTTGTTCAAACTTCCAAAGGCTTTGAACAGGGAAAGATCCAAACTGAATGATGTTATTTTCCGGCTCGCAGCCGATTGAAATTTTGTACCTGATTATGGTTTCTACAAATAGCTGGCGACTGATTAGTTGTTAACAATATTCTGGTGATAGAGTACAACACCGGAACATGGAGTAGGAGACCTGATAAGAATGGAAGAGTTGTAGTGAAATGTCTGCCAATCAAACGGCGAAAGAAAATTGATATCTGTCTGGAAAACAAAGTTCTGTAACCCAGTCTTATTTTATTCCAACAAATCTTTTAAGTATTTATATAATGACATGCGGTAACATATTCTGTGGACTTCTTTAGTGTCCTTTTACATCAAGTTCCTTTACAAACGATTCTTTTGAGGTTGGTGTTTAGTTCTCGACCAAATCTAATCATACTACTGTACTTTGAAACTGACCAGTAATTACACATGCATGATCGCTGCCTGTGCAAGTGTGAAAAGTTCTTAGGAGCGGCGCCTTCGGGTCTGGCAGCCCTTTCACAAAGGAAATGAAATCAGATTAAGCGGTTAGATGCTGTTTCTTTGGATAATTACAAGAACTGATGACATGATTCATTAAATTGTCCTGTGTACACAGCAAAAGACACCGACACCATTAATTTGATAATCCCTTAAGCTGTTCCAGAACAAATAGCGATGTTTTGAAACATCTAAAACATCTAGACTGAGAATTTTATAATGACCGCTTTTCTACTTTTGAGCTAAAAGCGAAGGAGTACCACACTCTCGTCGCCACAGATGACACATACACCAAGTTTTTGCTGGCATGCATCGCTATGCATTGGCCGATTCATTTCAGAGACTCGGAGTACTTGGCCGCGGTCGAGTGGGTCTGGGCCTTGTGATCAAGTAGTACCTTCCATAATTGCATCTGCATAGATTTTCTGAGAACTTGAAGGGTTAAACAAAAACTACCTTGGTCGCTAAAACGGTGCTCAGTCAGGAGTTGCCAGACCTGCCTGGGGGTTGGGGCCTACGAGTAAAAGAAAAAAGAAATAGAGCTGCTGCTAGACTAGAAAATGTACTTTAGTTGTCATGTTGGTCAATAAGTATGACAAGCTTTCCAATAAAGAAAAGGTGCAGCTGCGTTTAGTTTTCTGTTTTTTTACTACGATACCTACGCGTTTATGGATCCTATTATTCTTCTCCTAAGCATGGGCGCTATATATGTAAAAACCTTCGGTATAAATCAAATTGTTTTTTTCTATAATAATCCTGGCTAAGAGCCTGTGTCGGGCATGCCAGGGGTTGCATTTCCATACCCCTAAAACAGTCTGCTTCACCAATAAAACTAGTATGTACTTCAAAGATAAACAGACTTCATTAACTTCCTAGATAATATGGAAGTCCCAGAAACATCATCCTAGCTTGTGTCAAAGGTTGGGACAAGCCTCTACACAAACATTTTTTTTTTTTTACAATACAATACAATATTTTACTCTACTTACAGAACGGTACCGGCAATACTTTCTTTACTTACAATAGGATACAATACTCTCTACTGATATTATGCTACAATATTTACTCTACTTACAATACGACACGGTTCTTATTCTACTAATACTAAGATACAGTACTAACTCTATTTTATACGAAACAACAACAATAATAATAATAATAATAATAATAATAATACAATACTTACTCTACTTACATTTCATTACATTATCCTACAAAACAATGTACTACATTGTATTATATAACAAGACATTACATTACGGTGCAATACTAAGTATCTTAATAACATGACTTGATATTACAGTCCGCTACAATTGCATTTCAAAAACGTAACTTGGAACACCCTCCTTAATTTTTTTAATATTTGCTTATAGCAATAAATCAGCCACACGGCCTTGTGAATAGCGTATTGGTGTTATTAAAATTGACAAGAGAAATTGACGAGAAGCACAGGAGACAAATTAACAGGTATCGAACGAGAGTTGAAAAGTTAAGAAATTCTCAAATCTAAGAGACTTCTCTTGACTTCTGCAGATCCAAATGTAATAGCTAGCAAGTAAGCAGAAATGACGAGTTTTCTTGCTAAAGAAAAATGGTTTAAACCTAATACTATTGCTGGACTGAAATTACTGGTTACGTTTTCATGGTTTGTTGTTATCCACTGTTTAAATTCTTGCCAAAAATGCGAGGTTACATCACAGGACCAAAATAAATGAATCAGACTTTCCGCCTCAGTTTTACAGAAGGTGCGCAAGTCAGTTTGTTTTATTCCCACTTTCTTGAGAAAGGAATTCGTGGCAAGTCTTCTATGTAAAAGTTTAAAAATGAAAAATGATTAGTGTAGTAATTTTCGTGCATTTAAACCGGAGTAGGTAAACCGACTTCCAGTCAATTGTTTCGTGACTTTCAAATTCACAATCAGCCAACCATTTTTCCTGACTTGGAAAAGGGGATTTTTGCTTTATAGTAACGAGCCTTTCATAAGCAACCTTGGTAGGCTTTTTGGCTTTTAAGAAACTTTGAAGAAAGCTTTGAGAGGATGTGGTACTAAGTGACCGGCTTTCTCTGAAAGGTTTTAAAGAAGATTTTAGACCACGAAGAACTAGAAAGACGGTTTGCTTTAACATTGTTGTAGTTGCCAGTCAAAAAAATACTTCCATTTGCCGTAATTTTCTGAATCAAGGTACTTTTTTATCCACGTGGATTTAAGAGCTTTGTTAAAGGATATTAAATCTATCATTCTCAGACCACCTTCTGAGTAATCGCTGATCATTGTGTTTCGTTTGATCTTGTCTCCCTTGCCATTCCATGAAAAGTTGAAAAATAGACTATTTATTTCTTCCCTCACACGTTGATTTGTTGGGAGGGGCGACAAAATGTAAACTAGTTGAGAAACTATCAGGCTCTTTTAAAAGTACTGTTATTTTTCCAAGCAAAGACAATCTTCGTAGTTCCCAACAACCTAAAGAGTTGGACACTTTTGCGAGTTTATCAGCACAGTTTGCCTCCAAAGCATCTCCCGGGTTTGTAGAAAACCAGACACCTAATACTTTAAGTTTTTTACAGGGCATAGTTTGTCACCTCTCTATATTTATAGGCCCCGATCGATCTAAAGAACGTCTGTTTTTCTGTTGTTTAATCTTAGGCCTGAAACCTTACTAAAATTCTCCAGAACTTGTAAAGCAGATATCAGAGATTCCTTCGAGCCGTCGAGAATAAGGGTTGTATCATCGGCGTACTGGCTAACTTTAATTTCATTTTTGGATACCATTATTCCTTTTATGGTTTCATTTTTACGAATTTTTTCAGAAAGAACTTCGACCGCAAGAACGAAGAGGTAAGGCGAAAGGGAGCAGCCCTGCCTAACTCCCCTTTCAAGTTTAAAAAAATCCTTGGACCACACATTGTTTAGAACGCAGCTCTCGATGCTGTTATAAGAGATATTATCGTTTGTCTCACGATGTAGTCACTTGAGATGTAGATCGCGACGTTTCGACTGCTTACTGCTAGTCTTCTTCAGGCGATAAGGTCGACTGATT